CTCACAGGTCGGCGCTTGCACTTGGACATGACTGGGTAACCACAGTGACGTAGTGGGACCTGTATGTATTTTTTCCTCTTGTCCCAAGCATTTTATATCAGTTATGGTGGCCCCAACTTCTATAAAATGATACCCTTTGTATAGGTGGTGAAATGGAAGCTGAGCTAAGGGGGATTTCCCTGAGATCCTTGATTTAAATGTCAGCGCTGGAGCTTTTTAAAAGTATTTTATTTATTTATCTTTAGAGGGAAGGGAAGGAGAGGGGAGAGAAACGTCAATGTGTGGTTGCCTTTAGTGCGTCTCCTGCTGGGAACTGGCCTGCAGGGAACCGGCCTGCAACCCAGGCATGTGCCCTGACTGGGAATCTAACCACGATCATGTGGTTTGCAGGCCTGTGTTCAATCCACTGAGTTACACCAGCCACAGAACCTGGAGCTTTTAACGTAGGACCCTTAGTGAGCACCTGCTGTGTACCGTGTATCGGTAGGACCCACCACTGGTTTGCGGGCTGACTTGATGCCCCTCTGTTCTTTCTGTGAACCAGGCTGAGCATCGGGGTGGGGGTGGGGCACACACTCACGAAGCAGAAGAATACTGGGGTGGGGTGAGACTCTACGTAGTTCCAGCCCAGGTCCTCCCCTGCGGCCAGAGTGCTAATGGCTCTTTCCCCTCCTGCTGCCGGTTCCATCGCTGAAGCCCCAGGTGCTTTTCTGTTCCGGAAAATTTATATCTTGCGGTTTTGCGGTTCAGAGAAAATGACTGTACCCATGAAAGGCCCCTCACAGGCCCCACTGTGGTTTCTCTGGGAAAGTAGCCGCTGGCGCTTCTGTGACGGTGACCAACTTTCCAAAGAGTGAGCACAGCCTTATTTTGCTCAGATGTGAGCAGCAGCCCCAGCACCCCCATCCTTGTGGATGAGAACGGCTCTGCTCCTTTAGCAGAACCCAGACCTGCGGGTGTCATTTCTTCTCCACGAGCTCCGAGAGAGGGCCGCCAACAGGACACCAGACCTGCTGGCCCCTGAGTCACGGCGCCGCCCCCCAGGCTTACAGGTTAACTGGGTGCAGCGAGGAATCCTGCCCACTGCTGCACGGTCCTGCCCGCAGGCCCGCTTCGGGCCGTCTGTCCAGCAGGCATCCTTGCTGCCTTTCAACAAAGAAACTGCTTGCCCCTCTTCTGGGGAACCTGCCCTGGGTTTTGAGACTCTCAGGCTCCTGACTCATCACTCGCCCAGTTGGCATTTGTTTTCCATTGTCATTTTGGTAAATGTGTGTGCCCGTCAGGCTACAAAAATGTAGTGTGTGTTCATTTATTTATTCAACAAAGGTTTTACGACAGTGCGCCAGGTGCTATGCTGGTTCCTAGTGGGGAACTACTGGGGGGCACCTAGAGGGGAGCAAGAACACAGGCCAGGCCCCTGGCCTCATGGACTTTACAGTCTAAAGAAGGAAGCAGATTAGTGAAATATTAGAACTGCAACGTGTGGTCTGATGCAGGGGACGGTGGGGGCAGAGGAGCAGGGCCGAAAGGGCTGGCCGAAGGCCTCCTGGGGGGATGCACATCCAGCTGAGCTGTGGAGACCGAGGGGTCACTGGGACGAACCTTCCTGGTAGAGGCTGGTGGCTAAAAAGGGCTGAACATACTGGAGGGGGTGAACTAGAGAGAGCCCCCGAGCTGGCTCATTGCTCAGGCTGATGGGCTGATCTTGATGTTGGCCTTTGGTGGCCAAAGTCTTACGTGGAATCAATATGTTATTCACTGGCCTCCAGGAGTATGGCCCTGGAAAGTCTCGTGCCCGTGGCGATGGCCTTCACTGCTGCTGCTGGTAGTGCCAACAGCCTGGCCTCCTCACTTAATGTGGAAAAGAATGGTTTCACCTTGGCACAGTTACTCGAATTATTGCCTTGTCTGTGGTTGGCCTTCGAAGTTGTAGTTCGAGAGCAGCTGGGAGTGGAGGGAAGGACTGGCCGTGAGAAACATTTTAATGTGGGGATCAGGCCAGTGTGTTTCCTTGCCTCCTTCCTTAGGATTTTTGAGCACATGTGTGTGCCACATGTAGTCATAGGCATGTGGGGACAGTCACAAAAGGGTAGACATGGTCCCTCCCTCATGTGTAGCGACTAACCCAGTCATTGGAGGGTTTTCACGCTATAGTTTAGCTGCCGCCCCCCCCCCCCCCCCCCATAGACTGAATGAGCTGGCATTACCTTTCCTGTCGTTCAGGCAAGAGAACCAAGGCTCAAAAAGAGTTAATGAAATTCCCTGAGGTCACACAACTGGTAAATGGCAGAGCCTAGGTTTGAACCCAGATCCTGTTAAACTCCAAAGCCTGCTCTGTGCCTGCTGCCCTGGGAGCGCATGTGATGTGCCAGAAGCTTGACTATAGGAGGCCGGCAGTGATAGGGGCTGCCGTGGAGACGCAGACAGCACACTCGGAAGGGGAGGCAGGAATACTGACCAGGCCCGGGAAGTCTTGACCAGGCCTAGGACACTGGCTGGAGGATGGAGGGACTTCTGGCCAGAGCAGACAGTTTGAGCAGAGGCCCAGGGAATAGGAGAGTACAGGAAATATTGAATGTTTGAGGAATATTTCCTAGGTGAGTGTGTACCTGGAGGGCACAGTGGCTAGGAGTGAAGTGGAGACGATCCTGGAAGAGAAGGCTGGGGCCCCGGTGTTGGAATTGGCCTCTGGTCACACTGGGAGGGATGGACCAGAGTGAGGAGAGCCCAGGGGAGGGGCCTGAGTGCCTCTGCTTAGCCCTTTAGGACACAGGAGGCATCCGTGTCCTCATGTTTGTGAACTTCATGCTCTGAAGATGTCCCCAGGGGCTTTGGCTCCATAACAGGCCAGCAAATACACCTCTTGTGTGGCAGGCACCCTCGGAGTTGCCAGCCTTAGCTGGGAGCGTTCCATTAGCAATGTCTGCTCCGAGGCATAAAGCCTCCACAGAGAATGTCTGATTAGTAATGTCTGCTCTGGGTACCTGAGGGGCGTGGCGTGCAGGCACACTGTGGGTTTGCCTCTCTCTAGGTTTCACTAAACATAGAAGCTGTCAACTCAGTGGAATTATTTTTGCTCTGACTCAGTGTTCCCTCTCTAGCAATTGTCCTCCATTGCTACCAAGCCTTCTGAAGATAGCAGGACCTAACAGAGCTCAGGGCCACATGAGTGGGCCAGGGTCTGTGAATCTGGCACATGGTGAGCTTGGGACCAAACAAGTTTCTGGGGACGATTTCAGAAAGGCCTCAATAGAAGCAATGCTTTTGCTGTCACTATGGGTCTCGTTTCACACTTCCCATCCCTCTAGCCACGGGGTTCTTTACCTGGAGTGTGTGGAGAGAATTTCAGGGGGTTCATCAGTTTGGATCGGAAAATTGTTATCTTCATTTGCATTAACCTCACCTGAAATTTAGTATGTTGTTCACTTTGGGTGTAGGCAACGAGAGCACAGTTTGTCTTAGCAAATCCGTGTGCCTCGGTCGCTGGTGGAGATCACAGCTGTTTTCCCGTTGTGTTACAGCGGTGGAGCCACCCGAGAAAGCAGGGCTTGAGAGTGACAGCGGCTCTGAGACCCGCTGCCCGGCAGGATTTACTGCTTTAATAAAGAAGCCTTAGTGCCCTGTCACAGTTTTAAGTAATACTTTGATGAGTGTATTTACGTGTGATTGATTTTCTCTGCTATCCTGCGCGCTTTGTTTTATGCACTTTAATAGCACTATTCTTAGAGATGCAGACCTCCCCAGACGGCCAGAGGGGTCTGCACTGCAGAAACGGTCAAGAGCTCCTCTTTGGAAATTGGGAGTGTTCCTAGATACATGATAATTTTAAATTATAATATCATTCACCATTTTTTAGTATTGTGACCATGCCGTTTAGAGACATCTGCTGAAGTATGATAGATGAAAGATAAAGGAACGCATTAACAACAGCCACACCCTTCCAGGGGCAGCGGGACTGGGAAGTGGCTGCAGTGGTGGGGTCTCCGCGCAAGTCTTTGAAGGTGGCCTGTCCTCTGGGGCAGCTTGAAAGTCACCAGTGCGGGGCCGTTGGAGTCCAGTCAGCATCTCGGCAGCTCTCGCTGGGCCGGGGGCGCTGGTGGCCGCAGCTGAGCCGGGACTCTGGCCTTCTTCGCTGGGCTCTTATTTCCGTCTCTTGGAGGCCTTTTCCCTCCTGTTAAATCCGCCCTGGGCTGTACCCTCCTGCAAGTCTCACCCCTCGGTGTTCCTCAGCGCCACGCGGCCCACCAGGTGGAGGAGCCCTGTATTTGTCAAAAAGACCGTCGGGCTGGCATTGTTCAAACATATTTTATTCGAAGTGTTAGTCTTCAGAAAGCTGTGGGCTGTCTTTCCCTGGAAAAATGCCCAGACTCGCATGTCTGCAATTTGCATACATTTCAGGGTGGGGGCCCTGAAAGCCTGTGGTGGGGCCCAAGTCATGGAGCCTTGCCAGTACTGCCGTAGCCCCGTAGGCATGGCCAGCACGCGGGGGCCAGGCACACACTGAGTGTGTTATTTTTTTCTCAGCTTCCCTGACAGGGAAGCTCTATTATTATCCTCATTTTCTAAAGGAAGAAACTGAGGCTTTTCTGGGGGTGTGGTGTTAAGTAATTTGTCTGTATCCTGAGTGGAAAGTTACTCATCACCCCACATCTTCCTTATCATCCATTGCTAACCCTCTCCCCCAGCCCAACCTCCCACACTGCGGCAGGAAGTCCTTCTCCATTCGGACGATTCTGGCCCATCACTCTCTGAGGATCACGGCCCCCGAGGCTGAGGCAGTGTCAGCCGTCCCTGCGTGGGGAAGGGGCTTACGGGTGGTTCTCCGGGTCTCGTGCTGGCTCTCCAGGCTCTTCTTCCCTTCCCTCTGCAGCACTGTCAGAATGGCAGCAGAGGGGAATCCAGCAGGCTCCTGTTTGCCGGAGCTTCCTTACAGCATGCTCAGGGTGGCCACCTGTGTGTGCCCTGAATGAACCGCCTTTTCTTCTCTGGGCTCCTCGCAGGCGAAGCTGGTCCGGTACATTTGCAAGCAACGGCAGTGCAAGCTGAGCGTGGCTCCTGGTGAGAGGACCGCAGAACTCAACAGCTACCCTCGCTTCAGTGACTGGCTGTACACCTTCAATGTGCGGCCAGAGGTGGTGCAGGTACGGGGGCCATGGGGGCTGGGGTAGGGGGTGGGTCATGCAGAGGGGCCACATGCAAACCAAGGACAGCTCCACTGTGGCTGCACTGGAGGGGTGGTGCTGTCTGCTCTCAGGAAGGGGGTGTTGGGTGGGGGCAGCAGCCGCAGGAGGGACCCGGGATAAATGTGCCTCTAGTGTGTGTCCTGGGGGCCATTGCTGTGTGGGCCAGATGCCTGACCACACTGGAGGTTTACTGGTTCACCAGAAGGACAGCAGCCAACATTTCTGGAAACATTGGCCATGCGGCACACACTGTGTTCAACACTTGGTAGAGATAATCTCACTTAACTCTCACAAAATCCTGTGAAGGAGTTACTAATGCTATTACCATTTTATGCTTGAAAAAATTAAAGCGCAGAGTGGTTCAATTACTTCTTTAAAACCATATGGCTAGTGAGGGATAGCTTTGGGGTTTGGAAATAGCAGGAGTCTGGATTTAACCTTCTCCTGTAGCTGCTGTAGTGCACGGCTTCCCCTCCTTTGCCCCGTCTTCCTATCCGTCCCGCTGCCCACCCACCAGCTGACCACCCGTTGGGCAGCCTGCACGGAGAGCGGGCCCGCTGTGTGGCACCGGGCACGGGCGGCTCTTGTGGGGCAAAACGCGTCCGGGCTTGGCAGGTGCAGTCCACCCGGTCAGGCCTTTTAAACCCTTCCTTCTAAAATTAAAAAAGATTGACTCTTCCTATTGTTTTAAAAGTAATATGCATTCATTGTGTGTGGACGACTCTAGAAAACAGAAAGAGGAAGGAAAAGTCACATTCATGTTTATACCACTCAGAGAAAGTCTGTGATCATTAGGACTTTGATTTTTCTTTCTAGTCATTTTTTTCTATTATTTAGGGTTTCTAACAACCTCTTCCTGGGTTAGGTCGTGCAGCCTGGTGAGGCGGTTACCAGCCAGCGTGGCTGCTGCCGCCTGGCAGGAGCGAGCCCATGTCGCGATGGGCTGCAGTTTGACGGTGTGCTGCAGCCTTACGGTTTGGGACAGAAAAAGGAAAGTAAAATATTTAACAACTTTTTACATTTAGTATATGTTGACGACACTGCTTTGGATATATTACATTCAATAAAATGTTATTAAAATGAATTTTTTCCTCTTTAAAATGCAGCTACTCAAAAGTTAAAATTGAAGTGTGTGGCTTGCATTACATTTCTATTGGGCAACACTGGTTTAAACCATCTGGAAGAAACATTATTATATTTTGCTTATTTGATACGCTAATCAGGATGTTTTCCCCATATTTTCATACCTCTTTTTTTTAAAAGTGGCTGTATAATTTTGATTGAGTGTATGTGATGAAGTTTACCAGGTATAAGTTAATTCGTTGGTTACTATATACAATATAGCGGTTAATGTTATTTATGAAGCTATTTGTTTATTTAGGGATTTTTCTCTAGGAGAGATTCTGGGACAGGAAGTGACATGAACATAAAAGGTTCCTGTCACGAGGGCGGGGGGAGGAGGATGGCGAAGGGGGGTCCACGGGGCTTACAGGCCCCGGCCCCAGCTGCCCCCGTGTTTGCGGTCCATGCCAGCCGTGAAGAAGTTGGCAGGAAGCAGTCGGCCGACATGGAGGTTGAGGGAGACCGTGTTGCGAGATGAAGTCTCCCGGAGCATCCCTAAGTGACGTGCACACACGCACGTAGTATGTGTGATGAGCCTCACCTCGCCATCCGTCTCCTCACCCACCGACCTGCCCAGCAGCTTTCTGCCATTTAGGAAGCAGATCTGAAGATGCAGGGTTCATCCATGATGACAGATTTAAAGTGATGGACTTGGAGACCAGGGAGAATCCAATGGTCCCTTGAGCCCCCAGCGCAGCCTCAGCATCTGCCCCTCCCCTCCTTCAGAGCTCAGAGATGGAAAGCAGCTTCTCTCTCACTTGGATCTGTGGTTACAGTTGAGGATTCTGGGGCCCCACAAGGACAGTGACTTGACCAGCATCTCACCAGCATCATCCCTGCCTGAGAGCTGAGGACCACTGGGTTCAGAGAGGCCACGGGGCTCTCTGAGGGTCCCAGAGCTAGTAGCAGGCACGGTTCAGACCTGAGCCTGCTGGACTCCACACTTGTGCTTTCCAACTTCCTTTCTTGGGCCTAAGACATCTTTGGCAGATGACTTAGCTCCTTGAATGATTTCCCTTGGAGACCCAGAGATCTGAAGTGTTCAGGAGACTCAGGTGTGCCCAGGATAGATGCCAGTATTATGGAGGCCAGCTGCAGGGGCCGTTTGGTCCTGGGAAGCCCCGTGGTGGCAGCTGGGACAGCGGTCTTCCAGCCAGTCTCAGAGGCGTAGCAGATGCGGAGTCAGATGGTGTGGCAGCCCCCAAGTCGTGGGTGATGCGTCAGAGCTGGGTGGCCAATGAGGCGCCAGCTCCTTTGTATGCAGGGGTCAGACAGGCAGCAGAGGCCAAAAGCTGATGTGGTGTGGGAGCCAGGATGCTACCCGGCTTGCAGGCCTGGGGCAGGGTCTGGGCAGAGAGCGCTGGGTGAGGTGGGAGGGGTCGGGATGAGGCAGCAGGGGCGTCTCCAGCTGCCCAGGGGCCTCTCCAGTGACTTGGAGATCATGAGGCGGCTCCGAAACGAACATGTTTCAAGCAGAGCTCTTGTTCTTCCCCTTCCATACATACAGCACATTTTCTTCCCACCCTGTCTTCTCGTCTCAGGACATGGTAGCATTGTCTACCCGGTTGCTCACAAACCCGGGAGGCCATCCCCGCGTCCCCCCTTGCCCTCACGCACATGTGCAGTCCTCTAGTGAGCCCTGTGGCCTCTGCCCCCAGACATGCCGGAGACCTGTCCAGCTCTCTCTGCGTCCAGCACTGAGGTCCAGGCCACCGTGCTCTTTGCCCAGGCTCCTGCAGCAGCCCCCTAACTGTCTCCCTACTTTTTCAGGTACCCCCTTCATTCCATTTTCCACACAGCAGCCAGAGTGCCCACTAAGAAACAGAAATTGGATCACGTCATTTTGCAGTGCTCCCATTTCTGTCCAAATAAGTTCCAGATGCCTCACATGCTTTGGCCTCTGCTGGTCTCTCTTTGCCCTCTCATCTCGCTCAACATCCCCTTTGGTTTCTCTGACCTTTGCACTGGCTCTTCCCCTCCCTGAGGTGCATTTCCTTGGTTGAGCCCGTGGACAGCATTCTAGTGTCAGGCCCACCGACACCTCCTCCGAGCATCCCGCCCTGATGACCTGATCCAAGGCTCAGTCCCACCCTTTGTTCTCCACCAGTGCACCTCGGCTGATTTTCTCAACGACACCGACTCTTTGGTGGAGTTTATCTAATTTGTCCAATTTGGTCTGCCTACCCTCCCACTGGAATATAACCTCCGTGAGACTGGGACCTGCCTTCTCTGGATTGTTTGCCACACAACCCTCTTTGATGTTGGGCCTGATATGGCCATTGCTTATCGGAGAGGGAAGCAGGGCGGAGAGAGGAAGGATGACCCTCATCAGGACATGGTGGGTGTTCCCAGGAGTCAAGGGTTTGGTCTTGAGTGGGTGATGACGCAGGTGACTCCAAGGCCCGGCTTTTGAAGTCCTGCAAGAAAGGCCAGTGGAAGGGACCAGAGCTCCCCAAATGCACCTTCCCTGCTGTGCCCAGCTGCCCGTGAGTCAGCCTGTGGCCAGCGAGAGGGCCTTGTTTGGGAAGGCGGGGCGGGCCAGTGCCACAGGCAGTCCTGGCACCGCTGCGGCACTCCCCTTCTGACCACACTGACTCTCCTTGCCCACGAAGGGGTCTTGCTTCTAGGAGTCCAGCCAGGCCCTGGCCAGGAGGCTCCAGTCTCTGGTTATTGGGCAGCACCACGGCTGAAGCTGGCTCCCAGCTCCCCTTGGAGCCTCTGCCTGCCTCGAAGCTGGCCTGCAGAGAGCGTGTCCTGCGTGTCCTGCTCTGCGCGCACTGCTTCATCTAGTTGTCGCAGCGCCACTGGGCGTGGGCACCACTCCTGCCGTTTCAGTCGAGGAAGCTGGGGCCCCCGGGGTGTCCTGACTGGCCCAGGACCTCAGAGCTGTGAGGGGCGGAGCTGGGCGTCCTCCATTCCAGACTCTCAGAGTCCTCGCCCTCAGCCCTGATCTTCTCCTGCTTCTTGTCCTGGCTCTGGGAACCTGGCCAAACTCTTTCACCTCTCTAAGCCTCAGTTTCCTTCTCTGTAAAATGGGAGAAGACCTGTGTGCTGCATGCTGGCTTGTCGGGGCCGTAGTAGGGTCAAGTGCGCAGAGGCACTGCAGTGTTTGCTGGGGTGGAGGAGGGAACACAAGGCGATTTTCTTGCCTCCTCCTCAGCTGCTGTTACTCCCTGGCGAGGGCACTGGAGGCCACACATGGCGCAGCTCTGTGCAGCCACCAGGGGGTGGGAGGAGGAGCAAGTGATGGACGGCAGGGGCCAGCGCTGACCAGGAGCAGCCTTTTGAACCAAGAGGCAGTGGAAGTCGGCCCAGGGCTCAAGACAGAGGGTGGCACATGGGAGCGGGGCCTGGTGTCTGCTCCCTACCTGCTGTGGGTCCCAAGGGCCACACAAGGGCGTCCTCACCAGTGGGAGGGGTGGCTGTCTGAGGGTGCGGGGCTGGGGGGCAGTGAGCAGCCTTCTGCCTGCGTCTTCCCAACCACAAGGAATCGTTTCCTGGATGTCACACCATTTTTTCCAAACAAACTCTCCAGACCCTTTTCTCAGGATTGCTCCGCTTCTTTCCCTCAGACCTCACTCTGGCCCTCGCCTGGGCCGGACTGTGCTGCAGGGGAAAGAAGGGCTGTTTCCCTTAGTCGCTGCAGCCCCTGCTGTGGGGGGCTCGGGGACAGGCTGCCTTTACTCAGCTCTGCTCCTGGTCTGGGTTTCTCCTTGTACCGTCTGGGAGCACAGCCCCGAGCTAGAGGGCCCCTGGGCACAGCCCTCAAAGCCAGCCCCAGGGTGCGATTTGGTTTTACCCTCTTTTTAACCCGACATTTCTTTGGTCTGGAACAT